TGTCCTGGGCATGGCCTTACCACCTTTCTTAAAGGTGGTGCCCAGGACTCAATGCATTTGAAACCTCTGTAATCAGACCTGGCCACTATCCCAGGAGGCCGGATCGTAAGCCAACTTCCAAAGCCACTCCAGGCCCATCTCCTCATTCCATCTGCAGCTCAGGCTGGCCAAGACTGCAGATTGGGTGGGTCACAGTTAGAGCTCAGGTTCCCAGAGCAAGTTTCCGTCCAAGGCTCTGCACACCTCGGCATCAAACACTCTGAGGCCAGAGTACACTTTAACTTCTGTGAAGTAGGGCATTTTGAGTGTGCTGTGTTTTCACCTTTGTGTTCTGCAGTGCAGACTGTGGCGTGGGCTCTGTACATGACTGACAGTGTGCATCTGGAAAGGGGTTCTTGGGACAGGTCACCTGGAACTCAGGAGAGAGCTCATGATCCAGTTTAAGGATCTTAAGGGCAGCAGAGAACGCACTCACCTAGTGCATAATGGTGACTGGCCACCCTGGCAAATGGCCAGTCCCCCTGAGGGGCTTGCCTTGCGCCTCCTGCCTCCTCCAGTGCAAAGGTGTGCCCTTGTACCCCACTTACTATAAGGATGACTTTGTCATTCTCAAATGGATGGATTAGGGCTTCTTCCCCTGAAGCCCCATCTCTCTAGTCCCAGCCGCAAGACCAGTCAGTCATTCTACAGGTCTGTTCTCCTTTGCAGACGCCAGTGCCACCAGGCTTCTGATGGGACTGATGACATGTGGCTGATGGGTGTCTGTTCCTCTGACACCAGCAAAGCTGATGTTCTATACACACACGCACACACATGCGTGCACACACGCCCTGGTGATCTGTCATTGAGTCTGCTGTGAGGCTTCTGGGGTTCCACCCCTTCATGGCCCAGCCTTGTCCAAGATGACATCTCTGGTCTTCTAAGAGGTGGTTCCTGTCTCCTGACCTGAGCAGGCCGCGCCATTTTGGCTGTGTTGATTTCATTCCTGTGTTGTTTTCACTTCCACTGAGGTGGGAGACCCGAAAAGAGCCTGTGCTTTCCTCTTTTAAGGAATGTTCTCCACTTGACCTTGCTGTAGGAGCCCATGTGTGCCCTTTCTCTCCTGGACCCCTTCCCCTTACTCCTTAGAGAACTGGGGCTTTTGAAATTTTCAGGACCTCCAGTTTGAGCTCCAAGTTGTATCAGCTAGATCCCTACCCTCTCAGTGCTTGGCCACATTGGATCCCACAGTCTTGTTGACATGCAAGGCCGGAGAGCAGGCCTGGAGCCATGGCAGAGCCACCTTATTAAAATAACATGTTAGCATTTAAACAATATTAATACTATTTGACTCATTAAATGTACAAAGGCCAATCAAAATGCTTCCATGTGTGTGTGCTGTTAGTTCTGGCGGGAAACGCCTCCAATGGCTTCATGTGGTTTCAGACAGCATTTTAGCACATTCTTAAAATACCCACAAAAGCCTTTATGTAAAAACTCATAAATGTGAACCACATAAAATTATTTTTTTCCTTGTTTCATGTCACTATGATCAAAGTACAGTAGGTAAGAGTAAATTTTCAAAGCCTTGTTGAGGTCCTTCTTTAATTAATGCTTCACGCGCAGAGTAAAGCCATAAACCATATAATGGGGGGACAACCGTCTGTGCACCCCACAGCCACCTCCCTTCTCACAGTGCTTGCCAGCAATGCTGGGGCTTCTGCATGATTTCAAAATGGCCCTTCTAATCACCCGGCCTTCAGTCCCTCTGTATCAGACCGTCACGTTGAGACTTGCAGCCGCTTGACTTCCCAGAGGTCCCTCGTGGTGTCTGGAATCAAGTCTGTTCTTGAATTGCTGTGGTACTAGGGCCCTGTCTGAGGAGTCTCAGCTCATCCACCCTGAGACCCACAGAGAACCCCCAATTCATGGGGAGCAGGCAACTGGCAGTGTGGCTCTTCTGCGGCCAGCAGAGCCCCATGGAAAGTCAGATGGCCATTGGGAGTCCTGGGACACTGGCCACTGTGGAAAAGGGCTGGAGATGAGCTGCCTCGTGAAAAATGCCACACTCGACCTGGCACCATTCCTTACAGTTACATAAAAATCCAACATCTCAACGAAGACTGGAAGGAACTTTGGAAAAATCAGACTTGTGGGAAATGTTGATGTACGGTATTGTGGGCTAATTTTTAAATTTCTTTTTTTATGATGTTCTTGAAAAAAACCTTCTTAACTCAGGGAGGGGAACTCCAAGGAGGTCACCCTTGGGCTTGCATTTTTTTGCCTCTCTCAGTTTCAGCATTTTGAAACTCTAAACCCAGCCTGTGTGGCCCATAGGGGAACCTGAGGATACCTGAGAGAAACTGCTCAGAGCAGAGGCCAGGCTTCCGCTGGGACAGCCCAAATGCTATTGTTTTCTGGAAGAACACAGACCACTGAGGGTGGGCGTTAGGTCACCTCGTGCTTTTGAACTGGTCACTGGTTAGTGTTGACAAAAGCTTTCAAGGCACCAACATTTATGCTGGTCCCCACTGAGGCAGCCTGAGCCAACACGGGAAAGAGTGGTCCCACAACAAGAGCAGCAGCAATGCGTGGAAGAAGGATGGTGGTGGCCAGGACGCTGGGCCAAGTGGGTAGAGCGTGAAAGAAAGCACCCGGCAGCCACAGCCATGGCCTCAGAACATGAGAACACGAATCGGAATCTCTTGCCTCATCCCGCAGGGTTGGCCTGGAGATGACCAGTCCATCTTTGCACATCCAAGGAACATTCTAGAATGCCCTGGTATACACTGCCCACCCTGTGAGAAGTGGCTCCTCAGGTCCCAAAGCACAGTACTTTGTTTCCCTTGTACTAGGGGGAGAGTGGCATTTGCTGAGTTTGTGAACATGAAAAAGTGGGGTCCAAGACCCCCTTGTAGGCAGCATCCTGAATTCACGGAGTGATGGCCCTGAGCACTGCCCCACGAATGCCCATCTGTGCTCGAGGGCAGCATGGACTCTGGCCAGCACTTGGGCACTTAGCCAGCTACTTACAGATGTCTGTTGGGCAGGAGAGCTATGTCCCACCCCAGCTGGTGGTTAGGCAAGACCAGAAATTCAGTTTGATTCCTCCTTCACAGTAAAGGTGCAGGAAGTGGCCCTGTCTCTGAGGGCTGGGCCAGTCCTCTGGGAACTGTGAGTGGAGGGGCAAGGAAGGATATGGGAGCAGAGTGGAGCCTCCTTGGGAAGTTAGGGGTGGAAGGTAGAAAAGCCATTGCGCCTGCACTGTGAATTTGGGGGAGGATCTGTGTCGTTGGCAGGAGGGGAACTCTGATCTTCTCAGTTACGCTCTGGTGTGTGTCTTGCTGGCGCGGCAGTGGGAAATACTGTTGGTTTGTTACTGAGTCAAGTTCAGATTGCAGAAATAGTACAATGGCCCTTGGTGCCTACAGGGTGCCCCTGTGGGTATCAAAATCCTTGGCTGCCCAAGGCCTTCATATAAAATGACAGGATAATTACAGAGGACCTACATGCCTCTTTCCATGTCTTCCAAGTCGCTTTAGAGTTGTTGCTGTGAGAGCGGGCCTTGCTCTGCAGCTCCATCTGGCCTAGAGCTCAACGTGTAGCCTGGTCTCAGACTGCTGGAAGTCTCGCCTCAGCCTCTCAAGTGGCACTTGCACCCAGCGCCAGCAGGATTTCTTAGTGTGTGGAAGCTCTGGTGCTGAGTCAGCAGCAGTTGCGCAGTCGCCTCAGTGAATCACAGGAAGAAAGTGCACAATTGGTACACATGGCATTTTCCTTTTTTCACTAAAGCCCACGGATGTGGAGCTGTAGGTATAACTGGCTCCCCAAAGACTTCTGTCTTTCTCTCCCCCTCATTCTCTAGCATTAAGATTTCAGCATGCAGCTTTTTTTAAATTGTAAAACAGCTTTACTGTGACCTAACCTACAGGTGCTCTTTAATTTTGACTGTATTTCATTTCAATATCAAGAAGTAATTTCCACACCAATCCCCTAGCACTCAGGAGACCAGGGCAAGGGGATCACGAGTTCAAGGATATCCTGGCCCAGGGCTGGATAGTTAGAGCCTGACTCTTCAACCGGAAACCACCCTCTCCACCCCAAACAATCATGTGCTGGATGTCCACCTTTTTCTTCAGGGTCCTGGCCTCTAGTCACCTTCCCTAGCATGTGGTTCCTCACTGCATGGGCCACAGGCAGAGCTGGTCAAGGCACTGCTGACACCAGCCCATGTCTGCCGAGGCCCTGTTGCCATGGTGCCAGCCTGAGCCCTGCGAGTGTGCCTGTTGCACTAGTGGGCTTTCCTAGGGTTCTGTACTGAACTTTATGTTGAGGAAAATACTAGCCACATGAGGTATGATTTCCCGGAGTTGTGCTGTTTGGTTATCAGTGGCGTTTGAGGTCACAGTAGCTGACCTCACAGATCTTCGCAGCCATCTTATCTGTCACCCTTGGATTTGCTACCCTAGCCTAATGGCCTCTTCGTTCTTCCCCTCTTCTCTTTTGTTGGATCATGGACTTTCCAGTGTTGGCTGGACCTGAGGAGGAAGTGCTGTCCCCTACACCTCCCTTCATTTCTGTTGGGTTTCTATAGCAAGTCACTCTGAAAAACCAGCATGATTACTTGTGGCTCAGGATGTGGGCTTGTCAGACAGCCTTCCTGAGTTGATTCTGGAAGCATCATTTTCCAGTGATGGCCAGGTCTGTGCTATGAGGAGGGACGTACTGTACTGGATCTTCTAACTGGCAGGAAGCTGAAGCCCAGAGAAGTTCAGTAAGCTTGCCAAAGACACAGAGCTCAAGAGACTTGATCTTCCCGGCTTCTAAGACCTTGCTTTTCTGCCTCCCCAGCCATGGGATGGTCAGGCCAGGTCAAAAGGTCAGCCCTGGCATCTGGCCTGGAGGGTCCTTAATCCTAGACAGGTGTCTAGGTCATCTTCTGGGCGCATCATTGCTGACAACAGTCTGGGACCCCAGAGCTTGGCTCGGCATCTAATGGTCCGTGGGTGTTTCTCTTGCAGATATTTTGAAGGTGGAGTCTCATCTGTCTACCTCTGGGATCTGGATCACGGCTTTGCTGGAGTGATCCTCATAAAGAAGGCTGGAGACGGGTCCAAGAAGATCAAAGGTTGCTGGGATTCCATCCACGTGGTGGAAGTGCAGGTACAGCAGCCAACTGGTGGTCAGTGTCCCAGTGCAGGAGCCACACCCTGCAGTTCAGCCCTGCTCTCCAGATGCCACCACAGGGGTCAGGCAATATGTAGAAGCCCCTACTAACTCCTAAACCTGCCTAAAGCCGATTGGGTGAAGAGAAGTCAGGGTGACAGTGATCACTGTTGCTGATAGTCCACTGAGAGCTAAAGGAACGATTGCGGTTCTGCCCTGTAAAAGCCAGGGGGTTTTATAAGGGAGAGGAGGTGGCTTGGGGAAGGGGATCCATAACTCCCTCCTCAGCTCAGGTTCACGATGTTATGTCCCTGTCCCCAGGAGAAGTCCAGTGGCCGTACTGCCCATTACAAATTGACCTCCACGGTGATGCTCTGGCTGCAAACCAACAAGTCCGGCTCGGGCACCATGAACCTGGGAGGCAGCCTGACCAGACAGGTAGGGCTTCCACTCCAGCCTCTCGCCAGTGCCCACTGGTGGCAGAAGCAAATGGGCCCTTCGCCCCGATTAGGGGGAGTGTGTGTGGTCAACTGCCAGCCTTCAGCTAAGGGGATCGTCACATCGCCGTCCTCTGGTCTGCACGATAGCTGGCTGCCTGCTGAGCTAGGACTGGGTGATTGCCGGCCTCATGTCTTCCATGCTCATGAGTTGCAGAGTTTGTGAGCAGTCAGGCTGTGGGCTCCGTGTGAGCTGCTCCATGCAGTTCAGTCCTAGTTGCTTGCTCAAAAGCCTGGCCTGAGCTCCTGCTTGTCAGAAGCAGAGAGTGCTGGGTAGGGAACCTGGATCTGCATGCCCGCTCTACAGCTGTGTGCACATGAAGGTTTGCTAAGCTCTGCCTCGCTGTTGCTCACCTGTCCTTTGCTTGGGTGTCACTAGATGTCCCTTTCAGGCTGTGAGCAGCACGTAGAACCTGGACTTTCCGGCACTGTGTGCCCCGGCACAGGCTTCTCTTAGCATCTTCGTTAGGAACCAGAGGCACCTAAGCAGCTTTCAGTCCCTCAGCAGTCCATCCAGAGTTTCATGCGTATAACCTGGCACTACTGGGACCCCTTGCATACCTCTCCATCCTAGGAGAGGGCTTCATGGCACTGTGCACTGAGGTAGGAAGCCCTGTGCATGGGGAGCAGCTAAACACAGCAAAGCGAGCAGAAGCACTCAGAGCCTGCTGCAGAGCCCTTCTTTTTCTTGAGAGTCTGTCTCCAGAAGACTCTTCTCAACAAGGCTGTTCTGCTGGGGGCCAGGGTGAGGCTCAGTGGTAGAGTGTTTGCCTAGAAGGCTCATTTCACAGCAGCAAAACCACCTTTTTGATAGCTCTTTAGAAGAAGCACGCATCAGGAAAGTTTGGGTTGTAACCCTTTCTTAAGTAGGTTTGCATTCTGCAAGCCACAAGGTTACCTTACATGCATTTGAAAAACAACAGTGCAAGGCCAGTGCCAGCCTGCACATCTGGGGTGCTGCTGGAACCATAGAGTCTCCCCTGCAAACTCTTCACCACCTGTGCTATGTCGATATATAAAGGCCAGAGGGAGCCTAGGTCCTCTAGAACCATCCCAGAACCTAGCACTAGTACTCAGGGCAGAGCTCATCCTGCTGTGTGAACATGGGCCCTCGGCTTCTCGAGCCCTTGACATGGGCAGGCCAGCCAAGTCCTCGGGCAGCCAGCCCCACCACAGCCTGCCCTTCCCTTCTCCCTGCCATCCAGTGAATGGGTGGAAGCCCCTGAGTCCATCCGGAGGCTGCTTCCTGCCTGCCTCGCTGCTGTGAACTGTCTGTAATCACACATTCAGTCGACCATCTTCCTAATAGTTTAAATCAGCGCTGTCAGCCCATGGCCAGCATCTGGCTCTGGAGTGCCGTGCTCAGCAGCCCTGCCAAGCCAAACTCGGCCTGCTGAGTGGCTGTCCTCAGCACACCTTGTCTGCATTGCATCTGCTGCCTCACGCTCTCGGGGCTTTACTGAGGAAATCCATGCTTCTGTCATCATCCTCAGGGCCAGAGCCATAACTCATCCAAGGTGCAGTAAAGCTGAGGCTCTCCTCCAGTGTCAGTAATTATAAAGAGGAGGAGCCACGGGAAAGACAGATGCACACTAAGAAAGCACAGCTCCTGAGTGAGCAGGGCAGTGGGGCTGAGGGCCTCAACTGTGAGGCCCAGATGAGCCCTGGAAGTTTTTCTATGGTTGCCTTGGATAGATGGTAAGGGTTCCAGGAAGGTCGGGTAGATCAGCACACAGCAAGCAGACATGGCTGCATGGCTATCTTCTTTGTGTAGATTCTAGGCAGTTGCCACTTCCATTTAACAGGTGAGGAAACGAATAATTGACTGGAACAAAAGTAGAAGAGCTAAGATTTGAACCCACATGTGTCTAATACAAATGCCCTTCCTCCCATACACTCTTTTGGTCAGAGCTTGGGTGGCCTCCAGTTGTGAATGGTGAATGATGGGGTAAGAGGGTGGTCTCCCCCCAACACAGACACACGCGTGCGTGCGCACACACACACATACACACACACACACACACACGCACGCTGTATTTTTGGCAATGGGTAAGCTGAGGGTTTCCTTCCAGTGTCACACACCCCCTCCACAGTCAGGAGGAAGGCAAGCCCCTCCTGTAGTTCCTGGAGCCATCTTACCAGGCACTGACCCTGCATTCCATTCTGTCCAGCTGTTAGGGGCAGTCTGCATCAAGGATGAGCAGGTCCCTCTTCTCCCCAGTGTTGTTCTCCCCCAGCAGCCTGACCCAGGCCCTTCCCTCATTTCAAAGTTTCCCAGGCCCTGTGTACAGGAAGGCCAGGAGCTGTTCTCCTCAGGGTCCCCATCCCAGGGGTAGTTTAGGCGTGCTCTTTGCCCTGTGTTCCTTATATGATTTCTGGGAATGCACTGAGGGAGTTGAGAGCCCCTCTTGGTGGCACCTGTCACTGAGATAAATGGCCCCAGCTGCATGTCCCTGCTGGTCAGGACAGCCTGCTGTGACCCTACCTCCCACCCCCAGCTTTGCCTCGCCCTTCACTGTGTCCTCTCGTTGCCTCCACTCAAAACTGTCTCTTGGGGACATCAGTTAGATGGGAGATAGTCTTTGGCAAATCCCTGCAGCTGTAGGGCGGTGGGGACGGCAGCCGAGGCCTTTCTGGAAGTTCATTGCTGCCTCCTCATATCCTCCTGCCAAGGGAGAGGCCACATGTGAGGGAAGGAGCAGAAGGTGCCCCCTGGCAGGCTGCCACAAAGGCCCTAAGCAGGAAGGCCTCGGAACAAGTGAAAAGGTGCTGCATGCCAAGTACTCGCTATGAAAAGGAAGCTGCTTGCAGAGGTCACTCCGTGTGTGTGACAGCAGAGACGTGGGAATGAGGCAGACCGTAAATCTCTGGAAGGAGATCCAAAGACTCCCATCCGGGGCAGGCCCTGCAGATGGTTGCTTCATTTTCTTTACAGATTCTAAATATTTAGACACGAAGGTGGAATGTTGTATTGAGTGGGGAGACTGGGCTCATTGGTCGTTTCCCACCAGACCCCGCTCTTCATCAGCCACAGGCACTCCACCATCTTCAGAAAAGGCCTCCCTGACCTGGGCTTGGCAGGGCAGGAGAGGAAGGGGCCAAGTGTGCTGGGCTTTGAGGCAGATGAGGTTGGAATGAACCCCCCCTACAACTTCTGAACCCCGAGTTGTGGTTTTCCTTGGCATTTCTGGTAAACATATACAATATCCACCGACCAGAGAGGTTGTCTCAAAGAAAACAGTCTTCAGAATCCTCCAGAACTTGGTCCAGGCTGTAGCCCCGTCCCCTCACAGCCATGTGACCAAACACAACTCTCACTTTCTAAAACTTTTGTGTTCTGTAGAGTTGAGGGCATCTTTTGAAATCCCGTGCCACTCTGGCCCTTAGTTTCCACTCAGTAAGGAATAGCTAACTCTGCAGCCCCCACGTGTCTTCCAGAATATGCAGCCTCCATCTCAAAGGTTGGACAGTTCTCCCTTCCTAGGAATGCAGCTGAGCACTGGCAAGGTGGCCTGACCCAGCCTCATGTCTGTGGCACAGGCTGGGCACTTGGGCCATAGGGCCCTGGGCATGGTGCTTGCTTTAACAGATTGTCTGTGTTGCTGGGCACACCCGGGCACCGCACATAGGTGTGCAGTAAAAGCAAGGGCATGGAGGCTGAGGTGGGCCAAGGCCCATTGCACCTAGGGTATGAGCTAGAAGCCACCACCCCCGATGCTGAATGAGGTTCCTGTTGACTGAACTCACTGAAAAAAGATACTTTGTGGCAATGGGAAACATCATCCACCCCTGTTTGAGGACAACAGCCACCAGATCCAAGCACTTCCTTCTGTCTTTCACATCTTAGCCACAGAGAGGAGGAAAGGGTCTTGTTGGGGACAGGCAAATTAGGCCCTGACTCCAGACTCGGTTGGAACCACCTTGTGGAACATCTGTGCTGCCACAGAACATAAAAAATGTTTTCCTTCTGGCAGCTGCTTTTATGAGGGTGTAATAATATATGCATTACAAAAATAGTTCTGTTCCTGGTGGGTCGGTGTTGCCAGCAGGCTGACCCCAGCCAGGTGTGGAGAGGAGGGAGGCAGTAGGGGCGGGCAAGGGGGCTATGGAAACTGCCTGCCTGTGCCAGGATCTTCAGCTTAGAGGCCCCCTGTGTGCTCCTGGGGAGTCCATCTGCTCCCCTCCAAACACTCTGTTCCTTAGAGGGTCTAGAGGGTCCAGCCTTTCCCTGCTGGAAGGTGGCTCTTGATTGTGAAGCACAAAAATGGGGATGAGGCACTGACGATTTGCCTAGTGGGGAGAGCTCTTTACCCCTAGTGCTGTGCTCACCTGGGGCTGCCACACTCAATGAAAGAGCCCGGGAGAGACCTCAGAGCTGGAGGGAGGCAAGGATGGCCCTCTGCATAGTACAGGGGCCTGAGAGAGACTGATCTGGAAAGGTGCCTTCCTGGGGCAGAGCCACCACCAGAGCAGGTCCTGAGGCTGTAGGGGGTTGGTTTTGAAAAATTCCTTTTGGAAATTGGGTGGCAAGCCCCATCCTTTCTCTCAGGTGTGCTCCCCAGCTTTCTTCAGTACACACACTGGTCAGTACACACAGTACACACACAGTTGTCTTAGCTGAAGGCTTTCACTCACAAAGATGATGTCCCACCAGTGACATGAGGGGCTGACCACAGCTAGAATGGGACCATGGCAGTGACAGTTATGGCTGTTACACTCACTACCCCAACTTTGTGACGACAGTTCTAAGACTCCTGGGACCTCTTGCCACAGAATGCCCATGACTCTTACAGCCCCCTATCACCAGTCACCACAGCTCTCAGCCAAACCCCTGGCCAGGACCAGAACTGTGTCCTGCATTTGAGTCGTGTGGCTCTGGAAGGCCCTGATGCCAGATGATGACTCTAGACTAGATTCTCACCTTGCAGCTCTGCACTAAATGGTCATCCCACTTCTTCCTTCTCGGCGGGCCAGAAGTGACTGGAGTCTAAGCAGGTGCCTGTCGTGGATGGTTAGAACCTGTTAGGCCCACCTCCACTGTCCACACAGTGACAGATTGCAGGCTGGCTCAGCCCTGCTCACATCCTGGTGCTTCCCTGCCCTGGCTTTACTAGCTCTCTTGTCCTGAGTTCTACCACACCTTGACCTCTCAGTAGCCCTTGTCCCACCCAGGAGGAAGGAATGCAATTAGCCACAGTTACATAGCACTACGTGGGTTCTGGGAATTGAACCCAGGTCCTCTGGAGCTCGTGGCCCCGGTGCCGTCTCTTCAGCATCCGTGTTGAGAGAGGTAAAGCCTACATAGGGAAAACCAGACACCAGCAGATTCTCATCTCTCCCTGCATGCAGAGCTGGCTGCTTTCCCTGTGTCCTCTGTAACCCAGGAGCCTGACGCTCCCCTGCCCAGCTCCCAGCCCTGGAGGGGCGAGGATGCCAGCCCTGTGGTGAGGTGGCATCCTCCACAGCTGCCCACACGGCTGTGGACATGTCACTGCATTCTGCTGGCCCCAGAGTCTTTTGCTAACAGGTCTTTGAGTCCCTCCCAGCTGACAGTGTCCCGGGGCTGCCACTGCTGGGCTGGTCAAGATGTGGCGGTGTTGTGGCGCGGGGAGGGTTCCAGTGTCACACCAGGCCTCACCCACATCTGAGTAGTAGCCTCTACCTGTGCCTGCCAGGAGTGATGTGAAGACAGGCACAGCCCAGAGCGACCTGGCCAGTGTGGCCCTTCGCCCTCCTTGTTGTGGCCCAGGAGCTGAGTGGGCGTCCATTCTCAGAGCAGCACCAAGACACTGCCCTAGAAATAACAGGGTTTCAGGATGTCTGCAAACTGCTGGGCTGTTTGCAACCCAAAACTTCAGTCCTTTGTGCTAGAAAAGTGGCCATGTTAACAACAGCTCCACAGAGCCACCAGGGCCAGAGGACTGACACCACGCAGGGGCAGTGGTGAGCTGGCAGCAGCAGGCTGGTTCTGGAACTGTGGTAGTCTCTGACTAAACATTTGTGTCTTTGCAGATGGAGAAAGATGAAACTGTGAGTGACTGCTCCCCACACATAGCCAACATTGGGCGCCTGGTGGAGGTGAGTGGTCCCCGGCTCACCATGCCCTGGTGTGGCACAGGTTAGCCTGCTCCTCCGCCTTCTCCCTCTTGGCTGCCGCTGTTCCTGCCCTGCCTCAAGTGTTCTGAGCTTTCTTCCACGCGGTTGCGAGCAGAGCTCAGCTCTAGGCCCACCCACCCCAGCACCCCCGCTCAGTTACTGGCCTGGGAAACATGAAAGCCCTGTTTTCCCCTGATCACTGGGTGTGAACAGTGATCTGAACTCAGGGTGGAAACAGATTGCTGGAACACCAGGCCTTGGAGCAGCTTCACTTGTGGCCGCCGCAGCCTCGCCTGTCACCATGTCCCGTTTGGAAGTCGGGGATGTTGTTTGGACTAGAGACGTGTTCTCTGGTTTCACAGAACTGTTCACAAAGTTGGTGGCCAGGCAGCGCTGGTGATGTGGTTTAGACCCGCTCCCAGCCGTGGTCAGAACTGGCTATCAGCCCCTAGGTGTTGGTTTCCTCCATGCCTAAGGATAAGAAAGACCCAAAACACAAATTATAGGTGGGGTTCTGGCAGCTGGGAACTGTCAGCGCAAGGGAGCAGTCCCACAGCACCCCGCTGTGGCCAGAGTGGGGACTGCAGGGTAGACGGTGGGTGTGGGCCTCAGGGTTCCTGTTTGCCATCTCCACTGACTCACCTCCCTTCCCAGGACATGGAAAACAAAATCAGAAGCACGCTGAACGAGATCTACTTTGGAAAAACAAAGGACATCGTCAACGGGCTGAGGTAATGTTCTGAACATGGGGCTTGGCTCCTCTGTGGTTGTGGGCCTCCCAGATCCTCATCACAAGACGTGGTCGGGGATCGCTGCGCAGTTTGAAAGGCCCAGAATACGGTCAGCACTTTTCCATGACCTCTACCAGTTCTGCTCGCCGGGCTCATTCATCTCAGCAACCTCTAGTGCCTTCATGGTAGAGCTGACCACCAGCCATCTACTGAATGTGACCAGACTGGTATTGGGGCCTCAGAGGCCCCCACACAGAGACACTGAAGAGAGCTGAGCAACCTGGCATAGAGTCCCACTTGAGGCTCCAGGCAGGACTCACTGTGACTCCAGTGTAGTTGGGAGCAGGAGGCAGAACCCAGCTGGGGACAGGGCACTGACTGAGGAAGGGTGAATGGGCTGGCACTGGCCTTGGAGCCACATGGCTGGGATCTCATCCCAGCTCTTTCATCCTTCCCTACACTTTTCTCAGTGGCCTTGTCCTGTCGGGAAGGAGGGTGCCAGCAGGGTTGGGAAGAGCTCTGCACCCCAGCTCTGTTGTGAGTTTGTGGGTTCTGCTGTGCCCCTGGGGCCCAGTCTTCTGGTGCCATTCCCCGGCCCAGGTTTTATATTGCAGCCGAAAGAAAGGCAGGGTGTGACTTGTGAGTGTGCTCAGCAGGCTGACGTAGGTAGACATTTCCTCCTGGTCCCCTGAGTATCTGACACTTGGGGGCTGTGGTACCAAATGCACCAAATGTACCGCTCTCCTGCCAGGCCAGTGTCCGCTCTTCCCAGTAAGGAAGGAAATAGGAGCGTCTCAGCCTGTATGGAGGCAGGTGTGAACCCCCAAAGGTGGACCACTGCCAGCCTCTGTGGTTTCGGGGAACACAGCCCCAGTGCCGTGGCTGCCTTCTTCTGTCTTGGCCTTTGCCCGTGGCTGCTGGCCTCTTGTTCTACATTGCTGTTGTTCTCTTGCTGCGGCTTCACCCTCTCTGAACACTCTCTGTAGATCTCTTGACGCTCTCCCCGACAACCACAAGTTTAAGCAGTTGCAGAGGGAGCTTTCTCAAGTGCTGACCCAGCGCCAGGTCTACATCCAGCCTGATAATTGAGCCGATCCAGGTACCCCGCCTGAAGGGCGTGAGACCTTCCCACTAAACAGGACTCACCAACCTGCCAAGACCCTGCCACTAACCTGTGTCCGCCCACTGCCAGTGGGCAGCCACATTAACACGCAGCCTCAGCCCCACGAAGTGTGGGCACGCATGTGTGGTGTGTGTGCTCTGCACTCTGGGTGAAAGCCAAGGTGGGCTTTTGCTCCTGAAGCTCAGTCTGTAGCACTACCACAGCCTTTCCAGCAGAGGGCACTGTGTACGCCCCCACCGCACCCACACCCACACCTTCTGTGGACTCACACACCTCAGGTCTGTTAGCACACCCAGCTCTTCCCACCTCTACCAAGGATCCTACGAGTCCCAAAGCTACATCTTGGAACCCCTTGGGCCGCTGACCGGGAAAGCACAGTCTCCGTCTGAGTGTCTTGACAGTGACTGCTCCCCAGGCCAAGCCAGCACGCCTCCAGCCTGGGCACTCTGTACCCATGCTGTGTGTACCCACAGCCTTCCCGTATGAGCTGCAGCTGTCCTCCAGCAGGCCATGCTGATGGAAAAGAAAATAATCTTGCTTGTTGACAGTGGCCAAGAACCATGACTTGGCTTGTGACAAATACAGATGTGCAAAGGCACTCAGCATCTCAGAGTGGAGGAGGGGCTTAAGACAAGGCTCTAGGGACCTGCAGTCCCCGGGGCTGGGCACCAGAGGCCTGGCCCAGACAGGGACCTGTGGGATTTACAGTGAGGCTTCAAGTTGGGCACCCCCCTCCCAAGCCCTGCCACTGCTGGGATCTGTGTGGTCCATGTGCTGACTTCAGGTCCAAGGCTGGTCAGTCTAGCCTCGGTGCATCTCCGTCCCCATGCCCCAGCGGAAGAAAGCCCTTTAAAGGGACACTGCTGCTGCCATCTGTAGCAAACCAGTGGAGGTGTCCTGAGGAGAGCCCAGCCCATCACCCACCCCAACCCCAGCTCCGCCTGAGCCCTCATGCTGCTCCTCTTGCTGCTACACCAGCCCTCTGGTGAGTTCTTGGGATCCTGAACTCCCAAGAGGAAGCAAATGTGCACTGAGCAGCATCGGCTCACATGCAGCTCCTTCGCTTCTTCGCTTAGGTCCTGTCCTCACAGTCTTGAAGACTCCTCTCGGGGCGGTTTCTTGCTTCCCCTCTCTGTCCCACTCTGTCTCACCTTCCCCTGTTTCCAGCACTTGGGGACAGACTTTCCAGTAGTGCCTCTCCCGGTGTGAACTTGAGCCACTTCTGAGCATGCCACCCTGCCTCTTCCACTGCTTCTGAGCTCTCAACAGTTGCTGCAAATAGTTTAGTACGCTCTTAACTTAACGGATGTGTTGGGAAAAGAACTGCCACAGGAGACCTTTCTCCAACTCTGTTTCATTGCCTGATCTGGAAGTAAGGCCTAATGGTGAAGATCCACCCTGAGATGGCTTCCGAGAATTGAAATACATGTAAATTGAAATTTACTTTGCAAATTGTAACTCTCTCCAAGCCTTAGTTGCTCCAGCTTTGGTCAAGGGTACATCCCCGCTGCCCCAGGATATGACAACAGGGGCCCAGGCTCTGAAGGGGCTGCCTTTTAGAATGCACACCTGCAGGGCTTTGCTGGGCTGGGTTTGCGGCCAGCAGCCCTGATGTGCCTCAGAGGCTCTGTCTTGATCCCAGTGGTTCAGCTGTGCAGAGGCTGGTTCCTAAGCACTCGGTGGGGGTGGGGGTTGCCACACCTGCCTTTTTCGGGTAAGGAGCCAGCGTCTGCTGCCGGTGGAGGAGGTGGGGCGGGTACTTCATTAGAAGGTCCTCACTGCCCAGAGCCTTCACCTGTCAGCCAGTAGAAGGTGCAGCTGCATGGTTCCTGAAAGCTTCCAACAGCTTGAGGGGTACCCCCCAATCTGTGGGCCTAGGGTTCTAGTGGTCAGGTTCCCCACACCTGGGCAATCTCTGCCCATGATGGCCAGCAAGGTACTGAGGTGCAGGCCCCGGCCCCCCTTCCTTCTCTCCAGACGGTGTACCCTGGCACCTCACAGTGGCCCCAGGCTGCCTCACTCTGAGTGTTCTGCTTGCTGATACCCCTCTCCTCCCCTGCAGGTCTGTGCAGACGTTTGCAGACAAATCAAAGCAAGAAGCGCTGAAGAACGACCTGGTGGAGGCCTTGAAGAGAAAGCAGCAGTGTTAGACCTCTGCTTCGCGCTAACCGGACCCGCCATGCACTCGTTAGAGTCCTCTCTTTAGAAAACTTGTTTTCTGCTCCTTCTCCCTCTTCCTTTCCCTCCCTGACAGGTCACATAACCTGCATCGACCACGCAGCGCCATCTCTCCCCAAGAATAAAGCCTGATAACCACCCTCCTCTGGCTCCAAGGCCTGCTTCCCACGACGTTTCGCTGTCGAGACTCCGTTTTTCCATAGAGACCGTGTGGTTTGGTTCGCCTGGGCCCTGCCTCCTCCCTCCTCCCGTTTGTAGGCACAAATACACTGTCTGCCACCGCGCCCTCCCATCTTTTTGTTACATTGGTGTAAAAAAATGTAAAACAAAAAATTTTATGAACTAACTGGTGTGTGAAAGATAGAAGAAAAACTGGAAATCTGATTCCATGTGTGTTTGGGAGTTGCTTGGAGTTGGGGGCCGGGGGGGGACAGGGGACAGCTCTGGAGGAAGGAGGCACGACCTCAGCACTGTCCTGCGCAGGTGCCCCTGTCCTGAGGAGACCACGGTGGGGGTGGGGCTGGCAACCGGCTGCTCTTCTGGCCAGGTGCTTTTCTGTCAATTTTTATGGAATGCAAAAGGAGTTTTTGGGTTTTTTTTTGTTTGTTTTTTTGTTTTTTGTTTTGTTTTGTTTTTGTAAAGCTTAAACAAAAAAATCTACATCTTCTACTTGAGCCTCCATACTTAAAAAAAAAAAAAGGAAAAAAAGAACAAAAAAATAAATAAAAAGAAACTGGGACAGAATTAGTGCTGGCCTTGTATTCTTTCTCACCTGCCTCACTCTGCAGACACGAGTGGCCTTCCCTGGGGACTTGGAGCTCTTCCCACCGCAGCGCTGCCCCCTGCTGTCCACCTCAGGCTCTAGGGAGGCAGCCACACTCTGAAGTGTGTGCAGGTCCCCAGCTACATTCCACAGGGATGGGAACGCAAGACCCTGAGCTCTCAGGGACCAAGCAGGCCCGATGCCTGCCTTCACCTTTCCTGGCGAGCTGGTCGGCTTCCTTGGGGGTGGGGTCACCCCAACTTGTGTGTGACATCCCTGACTTGTTAGTCCTGATCTCTCTTATTTGGTCCTAAGCAGAATTCCATGGGAGGCAGAAGAGCACAGGTGCCATGCTCACACCTGTAATATCAACATTGAGGCCGAGGCAGGAGGATCCTGAGTTCAAGGCTGGCCTGGCCTACACAGCCCTATGTTGCCTCAACTGCAAAACAAAATGTGCTGGCACACGTTTGTAATTACAGCACGTGGGAGTAGTGACAGGAGGATCAGCACAAAGTCAAGGCCAGCCTAAGCTTCATAGTAACGTCCAGGCTTGCTTGGCCTACACAGTGAGACCACCTCAAAGTAAATACTAAAGTTAAGAGACTTGGGTCAGTGGATACTGTGTACTGGGTAAGGGCATTTGCCAAGCCTGATGGCTTCAGTTCAAGCTCTGGAACCCACACAGTGAAAGAGAAGTGACTGGCGTGCGCACACCCCCCACACACACAAATTCTACTTTTCGTGCCACGCAGATTTAGTTGCTTTGAGCTCAAAAGAGGTGTGACAGCACACAACAATCCACTTTTTTTTTTTTAGTTTCATAAAACAACTTGTAAAGATCAGAAGGAAGAGGTGGGCCTTGCCCAAAGACCTTCTGTGGGCTGTGAGTGGGCCAGGCACAGCAAGCTGCATCCTGTATGCCCTGGGGATGCCACGACCTACCCAGGGATTCTAAGGGACAGCGTGGGACAAAGCGAAGCGTGCCCTCTGCACTCCCAGGCCACTCTGCTCCTTCCTTGCATGCCTCAGTGTGAGATCCATGGTGGCTGGCAAGGTCCCTGGGGCATTCCAAAGGTGAAGAGGGAAGACAGGAGGTGTATGACGGCTTCCCCAGCATACCAACAGCTTTGGTGATTTCCTAGCACCCAGGAGATAGCAGCACAAGGATCAAGAATTCAAGGTTATTGGGGCCGTTAAAACTGGCTGCTCTTCTAAATGACCCTTGGCTACCTCCCAGCCAGCTCCCATGCGGTATCCCACAGCATCCAAGGCCATATTCTGGCCCCTGTGGGCACCAGTTATCACCGAGGTTGCCAAGCATACAGGTAGGCAAAACAGTCTTAACAGCGATTTAAAAGTTCAATGGGTGGTGGCTGCACACGTTTAATCACAGCACTCCGGACGAAGAAGCAGGTCGAGCTGTCAGTTCAACATAAGGCCAACCTGATCCTATGTTGCAAGTGTCAGGCCAGCCACAGCTACACAGTGAAAGCTTATCTTAAAAACAACAAAACCCCAAAGCCCCTTCTTGCCCAAAATGATGCATAGCCGCTGGTAAGGGTTGAATAGCTATCTGAGTTCTTGAGCTAGGTTTTGTCAGCTGGTGGCACATCCCCTGTCCACGGGCTCTCTAGCTACCACCTGGTGTCCGCTCACAGAACAGGAAAGAGCCTGGGTAAGAAAGCCATGGCACAAGCTGGGCCAGGAGCCTGTCTTGGTCTAAGCTCTACCTGTGCCTGTCTCCAGCTCCACTACATAATGAGCACAGCCTCTGGGGTCCTAGACTTCCTGACTCAAGATTTCCTCATTCAATAGCCCAGTGACCAAGGACTTGAAGACAGGCCCTGTGTTGATCTCCACACACAGAGCCTCACCACTGATGGAGTAGACTCAGGGTTTTGATGCCCGGGACAACCTTTTCTTCATACCACTTCACCCTCCCACATAGCCTTGGTGCCCCCACGTCTGTGGTAGTGCCTCCTCCCTGCCATCCAAGGAACAGCTGTGATGGGCTGGTGATACGAAGACTGAAAGAACTCACCAAGACAAAAAAGGGTAGGAGAGTTTATTCGATAGATACACTGGTACAGTGGTAACAGACAAGACAGCAGAGAGCTGTAGGAGGCATCCCACAGGCTCCTGTCATGGGGGTCTTCTATGCATGCTGGCAGTTTAATGTCAATGTACAGCTGTTTGGGTCTTGTTTTGTTTTTCGAGACAAGAGTCTCACTATGCAGCCCTGGCTAGCCTGGCACTCACTCTGTAGACCAGGCTGGCCTTGAACACATAGAGATCTGCCTGCCTCTGCCTCCCAAGTGCTGGAATTAAAGGGCCTGTGCCACTACATCAGGCAAGTTGCTTAGGTCTCAATGGATGTGACACCTGTGTAGGGTTACTTGCAGGCTAGGAAGACACATCATTCTACTGAGGGACAAGCTTTACAGTTGGGGTGTGTCTCTTTGGGACCCGGGGCTGTCTGTGCAGTGTAGCATGAGTCACTGGAGGTCACTCAATGACTGGCTGAGCTTGCTCCTTAAAGGGTAGAATCCTCTACAGTCAAGATACTCCAAGACAGATCACAGAGCCGGGTGTGGTGGTGCAACCCTGGGGTCCAGCACCTGGGAGGTGGAGGCAGGAGGATCATTCTTGGCTACCCACAGAGTTCAAGGTCAGCCTGAGAGATGTAGTTCCCCAGAACAAATTAGTGGGTGCTATTTTTTTTTCTTGCTTTACAGTTAGGTTTTAATTTGTGTTTCCCTTATTCTATTCTATTCTACTGTTTTTAAACTTTGACAAAGAGTCCATAAGATGCCCAGGCTGGCCTTTTACTTGCTTTGTAGCCCAAACTATGTTTCAATGTACGATCTTCCTGCAGCATCCTCCTTAGTGCTAAGATCAAAGACCTATGTCACCAAGCTTGGTTTTCTTTTCTTTTTCTTTTAAATTTTATTACTTATTTGGGAGGGGCAGTCCAAGAGTATCATCACCTGGAACTGCAGATACAGGCAGTTGTGAGCTGCCTAATGTGGGTGCTGAGACTCGAACTCTGGTCCTCTAAAAGAACAGGATGTGCTCTTAACCACTGAGCCATGTCTCCAGCTCTGACCAAGCTTGATTTCCAATAATTATTTTTTAAAACCATAAAATTCAAAATATACACATATAAATTCACAAAACTTTGAAATCTATTTACATTGCTATGTTTTGGTGTCTTATCTGAAACTTGGTATTTCTAGGTTTTTCAGTTAAGGATGGCTTTGAACTCCTGATCTACCTGTCTCTGCCTCCTGAGTGCTGGGATTACAGGTGTACGCCACCAGATCATTTTGTATCATCCTGGGGATTGAACCAAAACCTCACGCACACTAGACAAGCCTTCTCCCAACTGAGCTGCGCTCCAAGCCCCTACGTGGATTCCTCTGTGTCGTCTAGAATGTCTCTTTGTAGACACAGTCTCCTATGAAACTTTTCAGTCAGGAACATGAGCTCGACAAACGTGCTACGGGATGAGAGGCAGGCCCTCACAGATGTATCCCTTTGAGCTGCCCAGCAAGTGCGGTCTTTCTTCAGCAGCTCGGCCCCTTCTACACAGTCAGCCTCTGCGTTACTCTGGGTTGTACATGCGCCAGAAATGCTGCACGTGTAGCTATGGTCTTGTTACCTCAGACACCTCACTCGAGATGTTAATATTGCGTAGGTAGCCTGACACCTTTCCAAACAGTTTTCTCAAGCTCTGACTCACACGCTACCCTGTAGAGAGGATCTGTCCTTGCAAGCGACATGCCTGTCTCCCCCACTGCCAGAGCCTCTGGACAGACAGGGTCTCTGGTCCTTTCTGAGCATCTGCTGTGTCCTGTGGACACAGTGGTGTACAGACAGGTGCTCTTTGCCCAGCTGTCTGACTGGAGTGGGGAGGTAGGGGGTGTCTGTGTCCTCATAGCTGCTGGGTAGGGCTGGGAGACAGGCTGGGAACTTAGCCATTTTGAGCCCAGGGAACCCACGGGGAAGGCAGGCCCTGCTGTGAGGTGGCCACTTCAAGCTTCCTGTTACAGTGCATACCCACTAGAATACCCTGGAAGCCTTAAAGCTGATTCAGACAGAAGGGGTGCTGAAGGGTGATTTGGGACTGCTCCCCCTCCTGGAGAAGAGAAGATCTGGAGGCCATACTGTCCTAGTTGTAATGAGAGAGAGGGAAAAAAAATCCCCAGGCTTGATAAATAACAATGAGAATCCTAGCTGAGAAGGCCTGGGGTCAAGGGCAAAGGGCAGGGTGGCTAGGCACAGCCCTTCTGCCTCCAGTTTCTCTTGCGTATCTCTTGAGACTTAGAGAAGGTGAAGCCTTGTGAACAGAGCAGAGGGTACCATGAGAGGGGCTTTCCTACAGGGCATCTCACAGAAGTCACGAATGACGACATATACCTGTAATCCCTGTACTCCGGAAGCAGAGAAGGAAGGCTACGGGTTCCGGGCAGACGTGAGCTACAGTAAGACCCTGTCTCAAAATAAATAAAAATTTTAAAAATTACACACACACACACACACACACACACACACACACACACACACACACACACATCCTATCTGACTCACTATAGAAGAGCCTTGGTAGACACATGGCCCTGCCTCCTCCTCACTCCTCCCTGAGTGACTTGATCGAGGCACTCCTGGCAGGAATACTTGCATTTTTGTGGCTGAGCCTGGACGACAGCCAAAATGCCTCCACACTCGAGGCTGAGGAAAGACCTGAGGGGCCTGCTGTACTCAGGCTGCATCAGGATGAATATCCACTACTTCACTCCTTGACCTGCAAAAGTGAGAGGTGTGAACCAGGGAGAGGATGGCAAAGCCAGCTGGGGCGTTTCTGGTCCACAGCAGCAATGGGGCCGTCATCACAGCAGGGTCCTATCAGTCAAGCTGCCTATTCCCAAGGGGGTACCAGATGGCTAAACCTCCTTTGGATGGTGATGCTAATATAGTCACCATTTCCTCACCCATGTTCCAGATGCTGGGACATAAACCCAAAAGTGCACCTTACGTATTCAGCACAACTAGATTCTGAGGAAATTAACACTGTTTTTGGTGTTATGGGAGGGAAACAGGCTCAGGGAGCTGGCCCAAGTCACAAGGCTCACGGTGGCTGAGACAGGCTTGAGATCCTGGAGCCCATGAAACACTCACCTATAAATAAGCAGCCTAGCAGGTCCTCCAAGGCCCCTACCGTGACTCCTACTTGGAGTCCTGGAGCCTAAGAGAGGTGGGATCAAGGTTCAGAGAAGCTGCAGTCTGGCGCTTCCCGAGTAAAGGGCTGCTTCGTCTGTCAGCCAGGCGTTCCCCCATGGGCAAAGCCTGTCTCCCATCAAGGGGTGTCTCCCCTCCTGGAGCGACAGTGAGGGCTTCTCAGACACACCTGTCATTCACGTCCTCCTGCCCAGGCAGCTTCGGGTCAGACCTGCACTTGGGGTCATGGGCCTCACTGAGGTCCCAGATCTTCAGATTTGGAAGGGTCTAGGAAACTAGCATAGAGCCAGGTCCCAGGATGGGACAGAGCCAGATATCCAGCTGCAAAGAGCACCTGAAGCCAGCAGTGGGTTGGGAACACTATGCCAGGGCCCTCTCTCCGTAGCTGTGGGCAGAGAAGCACTCAGAGATGGATGCCCTCTGTCTGTCTCTGTCAGGTGACCCCTGGCCCTGCATCTGGCTCTCTGGACCTACAATAATGTATGTGAATAAGCTAAGGCTAACAGGGAAGGTTGCTGGTCCTCTGTCCCCAAAAGGTGCTGTAACAAAGCGAACTGGAACCAGTCTTTCTCCCTTCCTCTCTGCCTTCATCACCCCAGTTTCTTGTCACTACCTTCTTCAGGAAGGCACCAGTCTATCCCTCTTCTCTACCTCAAAGGTGACCTTCACTGAGTTCTGACTGTTCAAGACACCTGACTGTATGCCTCAATTTGGGCTAGCCACTTCACCAAGCCCAACTCAGGCAAGGGAACAAGGAGCAGTAGTGCGGCCATGCCAAGATGTCCAACCAAACCCTGCCCTTAGTTATCTGCCTTTTCCTGAGCCCCAGAGACAGGGACCCCACTGCTGTGTCCCTTTTGTTGCCATGTTCCATTGCCAGGGTAGGGTCTGTCTACAAGAGGGCAAAGAAATACAAGTTAGAGAACCAAAGCCCTGAGGAGGCTAGACATAATTCCTCCATGAGACTGGACTTGCCCAGGGTCCCTTACCAGACCCTAAGCACCATGAGAAGGAGCAGCAGAAACAGGCCCAGCTGGAAGGTACCATTTACTAGGTTGTGTCCAGTCAGAGGGACAACCCTTGGTCCCCTGGCTATGACATAGCCTGGAGTCCACAGGCAGATTTGAGGTAGGTAGATGAGAGGTGGCCACACCACCTTCTGGGGTCTCAGCTACGGATCCCCTGCAGGCTCCTCAGACAGCTGTCTTACACCTGAGAGGTATGTCCTGGCACAGCACAAGCCAACTCCAACCAACTCCAGCCAGGACCAGAGTTCCAGGCCACCTCCTAGGCCCAGTCCAGGGACGGCAGCATCACTGCCCACACCTCATCCTTCCTGGGATGGCAGCAGCTGAGGTTCCCGTCAGCCAGGGCACTGGTCAGCTTGGAAGGAGGGGCTCTCGCTCTGAGACAGCGGCAATGGCGCGGCTCCTGTATACCAGGAACTGGATGGAGATCTGAAGGCAGCGTCAAGGCTACAACAGGCATGCTGGGCTGGGGCTGCTCCTGCCACTCTTCCCTGTTCTGCAGGTGACAGGGGCCAGCCGGGACCTCCTAGCCTCACTCTTGCTCTCCTACCATCCTACGTGCCAGCCCTGATGCCCCAGCTCTGGCATCAGGAACCCTGGAATACAACCTAGAGAGCATGGGCCTTTCCCTCTCACTACATCCCCTGGGGACTCAGCAAATGTTGAAACAAGGGCCATGTTTACTTTCTGCCAAGCGGGAGCCAAGTAATGTCCAACTGAGCTACTTGGCAAACACTGACAGAGCGCTGAGGGCTGGGTCACATGGGGGGGATGTTCAGATACTGACGCCAGCAGCTTAAAGACTCAGATGAAAAAGAAGAAAGACCATGGGACTGATGGGTCGCCCTGTATCATCAGTGAGGAAGTCCACTCACACTTGTCTTCGGGGTCTAGCTCTCGTTTCCCACGCATAGGCATATGGACTTTTCTACTCCTCAGGGCCTTTGCACAGGCGATGCCCAGACTCTGCTTCCTTGTGTCTGAATAACTTCTCCTCTAACCCAGGAGAAATGACAATTGTTGAGGCCTGAGTTTACTCCAAGCCAGGACAGTCCAGTGGTGATACACTCTTGCTATCTTTCTCTGCAGCACATGGTACCAGTGAAGCTAAGTAACTACCTAACAACCTAGTACATTCTGTCCCTGCTCACGGATGGTGCTGGTCCTGGCTAGGTACCTGGCACACAAAGGAGGTGCATGCTCTTGATGGACAGACGGACTGATAACACACAGATGGCAGGATACAGGTAGGTGAACAAAAGGATGGATAAATGGGAAGCTGAATGGATGGGTGAGTGAGTGGATAGATGGATGGACAGTCAGACAGGTACATGGATGAGGTTGGAGCGGTAAAAGGAGGCTGGATGAAAGGTTGGGTTGTAGATGGAGGATGGATAGATGAATGGATGTGTGGACGGGCTGGTGAGTGGATGGATGGATAGGCGAGTGAGCGGGTGACAGATGGGAGGGCGGGTGAACGGACAGATGAATGGACGCATGGATGAACAGGTGAATGTACGAATGGACAGGTGGATGGATGTGTAGACAGAGGGGTGGACTGGCCGGGATCTGCACGCTCAGGCTGAGGCTGCCTTGCCCACACAACTCTGCCAACATCACATACTCTAAAGGATACGATGGTGTCGAGCAGCAGCACACCCAGGCTGCCCACGAGCCAGGGCAGGTGGTGCAGCAGGTAGCTGCCCTCGCTCTGGCCCACCTCCGGGTTTTTGAGCAGCACGCTCAGCCCATACAACGTGTTCCCCAGCATCACCAGTGCAAACAGAGAGTAGGATATGCCTTGGGTTGACTGCCGAAGGAACTGGAGGGGGAGGGGATGGAGTCAGGGACTCAAAGGGAGTTCCTGTTTACAATACCAGCACTTGGCTCGCTGAGGCAGGAGGATCATGAGTTCAAGACCAAGCCTAGGCTATATAGCCAGTTAGGAGTCAATCGAGGCTACAGTGTGAGCCCTGTCCCCAAGATCAGAGAGGACTCTTATCATGCTAGACTGCACGTGTCCTTGTATGTGTGTCCTCTATGACACATGCTCTTAGCCAGGTTTTCATTATGTGCCCAATGCCCAGCATGGGCTTGGCACCCCAAACAGCCCTATCCAGGGCCCAACCCCAGCTGGCCCAATCCCAACTCCAAGCACTTCTCCAGGACCCCAGACATCATGGCTGCCTAGACCTGCTAGCTCCTGGCTCTGCAGCCCTCATGGACTCCTCCTGCTGGGCAAGGCTCCAGTGGGATTCCTCATCATTGCCTGTCCAACTCTGGTCTCTCAGCTTAGCAGCTCCCCTGCGACTGACCCCCAATGTTGCTGAGACACAACTCATGGCCCCTCCATGAAAAGTGTCACGGGGGCCAATCTCCCAGTGGTAGAAAGAGGCTCAGCCAGCTGGGTGACTTGGCTCTTTTCAGCAGCTGCTGTGGCCCAGAGCTTCTGAACAAAAACCCGTGTGCCGCACCACCCTTAACCTGCCCGTGAGCCTTCCATGTGACCCACACCCCTACCGAAAGCTCACATTGGTGCGGATTTGAGGCAGTCTTGAGAGCAGGTACAGCACGCTGGACACGGAACCGATGACAAAACCGACGACCTCCTTCTTTGTGAAGGGCTGGGGGGAGATGGAAAAGAGCACTCAACAGCCGGTGGGAGTCTTAGGGGACAGTCTCCCCAAGAAGGAGAGTGGCTCCCACAGCTTACCGTCTGCATGATCATGCAGGGACCCGCGTGCCCACCCACGCTACCACCAGACCCAACTCCTACCTTATTGCCTGGCTCCACAGACAGGAGTGTCCGTCCCCGGAAGCCTTCCCTGGGCACAGCCACAGGATCGGTGCTGCTCAGCAGCGGTATGATACACACGGTCCCCAAGATGAACAAGAGCACAGAATTGATAGGGGTAGACACTGGATTGAGGCAGGAGAGAGGCCAAGATTAGGTATCTAGGTGACAGCAGACAGCCTGGGATGGGGGTCCCTGCCTTGCTTCTCAGTAGCTGTGACCTTGCACAAGCGACCTAGCCTCTCTGGGCTTCAGTTTATAGAAGGTACCTTTCCCCCAGCGATACAAAGGAAAGACAGTCAGGGCAGAGGGATCAGCACTCCGCCATGGAGTCTGCTCTGTGACTCACCCTCCTTTCTGGCTCTGAACCAGAAAGAGGAGAGAGCAAATGGGGCCTCCCTTTGCCTTGATCTACACACGTCTCCACCTCATCCTGCTTCAACGCAGGTCCCAGGCTTCCCAAGGGCAGTAGAGCCTGACCCAGAGTGACCCCTGGACTCACACGCAGAAGGTCGATTCTTGAACTTGTAATGGAAGTACAGCGTCAGCATCATCAGGTCAGCCAAGACGTAATACACAGCTGTGTAGGTCTGAGAGAGAAGTGGACCCGGGCACTGGCTGCAGTCCAGGCCATGACATGACCACCCCAGCAAGCCCTCCACTGCACCCCAACTGATGGCCAGTTCCAGTCACTTCACCTCTTTGATCCTCTGTCTCCTCAACTGAACCAGAAGGCTCACTATTCCTACCTTGGCAAACAAGGGATCAGGCGCACAAAGAGTTTGGCAAGAATTCAGCCTGGACAGTCAACAGGGCATCTGAGGCTGGTGCCATTAAGATGGAGTAGCCACAGCCTTCCCAACTCACCCCAGTTCTGCCGGCCAGGGAATAATGTCTGTGCTTACCCACGAAGATACCACTTTCTACTTTGAGGGCCTCAAATTCAGAAAATTTAGCTGGGCCCCAACCCCTCAGAACCACAGACCCCTGTGGTGTGATATGCTTACATGGCAAATGGTAAAACTGAGGCTAGGACAGAAGCCCTGACTCACCCATCCTGACACAGCATGGTAGCCATGGAGTGCTGGCTGACAGGTCCGACACCCCAGCCTCCCCTCCCTGCCCTACTGTGCCTAGGACCCGCCTACCTGCAGGGGCAGCTGGTCAGCAAGGAAGGAGCCAATGAGGTTGCAGGAATCCCCACCGATCCAGCCCAGGAGGAACCACAGAGATAGGGCCTGGTCCATGTTGCCTGTCCTGCAGGCCTTGATGTATTGGCTGTGGAAGAGGAGGGGACAGATGCTCGGAGGCTGAGGCCTGAGAAGTCACCTTAGAAGGCCAAAAAGAAGACTCGACAACAGTATAACTGGACCCAGTGGGCAGGAGATGGCCCAGGCGCTCACCCTCAGGGTGGTACACAGAACTTCACAGACAATATGCTCAGAGCGTTTCTTTGATCTGCGCAGAGTTTTACCAAAGGGACCCCTATGAGCCCAGGAGCACAGCAGCTGTATCGTTCCAGAAAAATCCACAACCTTACTTAGATTTTCCCCACTGAACCTTGGGGTCTCCAGAAGGGACGAAGGGTGTGTACAGAGTCCCGAAGCATGTGCCTCGGCCTTGAGAAGCGCCTTGGCTTCTTTTTAAAAATCTGTTTGATGGGAATTGAAAGCAGGGGTCAGGCAGCTGAGGTGGGTCGGGGCTCGGCCAGGCCATTTTCAGGAGCCACTAATAGTGAGCCAGAGCTACAGCCTGGTTACTCTCAAGGAGCAGCAGAGAAGGATGGCCAGACTCCTGTGCTCTGTTTTTAGGTCACAGACTGTTTCCTCTAAGACCCTTCAGGATGGGGTTAGGTAGAGTATGAAGCCAAATGTAATGTGAGCCACTGCTGCTAAGAGCCTTGGGTCTCAGGCACAGACTTAACCCCCGTTGGCAATGACCCAACACAAGGATGGTCAGATCAGTTAGGACACTGCACACTGGGGACAGAGCTGGCTGTTATCATGTGTCACTGCTCAGATTCACCCTGGACACAGCCTCTAGCCTTGAGGCTCTCTTGATGCTTGTTACTGACTGTTTATGACAAGGCCTCAGACAGTCCAGGCTGGCCTCAAACTCTCTGTATACCCTTCCACACCAGGCTCTCTGGTCTTGCTCCTGACTGTTACACATGAGCCATTTATTGTTCAAAATTCTTTTCCACTGTCCCATTCCCCCCACCCCTACCCTGGGTCCTGGGTTGGAACTCAGAACTTCACATGTACTAGGCAAGAGCTCTTCTATACCCCAGCCCCTGTTGGCATAAGGTTATCGTGTAATTCAAACGGTGATTTCTGTATCCCCCATAAGTGGTTGCAATCCTTGTTCTGAGACTCCCTTGTCTCAATGGTGTGTAAACACACCCCAATTGTCCCATGATATACCAATAAAGCAGCTTACTTTACTCAGCCAATCACTGAGCAGGGGAAAGAATAGGGCTGGACTTCCTGTCAGCCAGGGGAGGAGGGGTTAGAAGAGGAAGTAGGGGAGTGAGCCACCAGCAGAGGCCCAGAAGACCAGGAGACAGAGCTCAGCAAAGAAAGCCACAAAATGCAAATATCTCTCGGATATACACTGGGAGGAAGCCAGGTTAGCATAGAGGGTTAAGAATAGCCTGGGCTGGAGAGATGGCTCACAGGTTAAGAGCACTGGCTGTTCTTCCAAAGGCCCTAAGTTCAATTCCCTGCAACCACATGTTGGCTCATAACTATCTGGTAAGATCTGGTATGCAGGCAGAATATTGTATAAATAAATCCTTAAAAAAAAAAAAAAAAAGAATAGACTAATAACTGCTCAGGATTGAGCTGTGAAACCTGTTAAAACAGGGTCTTAATTATTCGGTTGGTAGCCTGGTTAATCGAGAAACTGAGAAACAAACACAATCTTATAAAAATAACCTTAACACGGCCCACAACTTTTTAAAAGAATAACTTGTCAATGGGGGCACGTCCATGTCAGAGCGCTGTGTGGAGGCCAGAGGACAGCATTGCGGAGTCAGTTCTCTCCTGCCGCCTTTATGTGCTTTCTAGAGACCCAGTTCAGACTGTCAGGCTGACATGACAGGTGCCAGTTAACCTGCCCTCCACTTTTCACTCTAGCCACCTGCACACATTCCCGCAAACAGACCATAAGGAAAGGGCTGGGCTGTAGCACAGCTGATAGAGCGCCTGCCGGGCATACGTGAAGCCCAGGGCTCAATGCCCAGGACTGCCTAATCCAGGCCCAGTGGTGCATGCCTGTAACGAAGCTCTGGAAGGGCGCGGGCAAGATGGCTCAGCACGTAAAAGCCCGTGTCGGACAAGACTGATGACCTGAGTTCAGCTCCCAGAACCCACGGTGGAAGAAGAGACTCGTAAAAACTGTCCTCTGAGGCTGGAGAGACGGCTCAGTGGTTAACAGCACTGCCTCCTCTTCCAGAGGACCCAGGTTCAATTCCTACCACCTACATGGCAGCTCACAACTGTCTGTAACTCTTGTTCCAGGGTTTCCGATACCCTCACACATACATACATGCCGTCAAAACAGCAATATACATAAAATAAAATTATATATATATTTAAAAACCTGTCCTCTGACCTCAGTGCACACACATACACATAATAAAAAAATTTTTTTAAAGAAAAAATTTAGAGGGTCTAGAGAGATGGCTCAGTGCTTAATAGCACTCACTGATCTTGCAAAAGACCTGGGTTCACCTACGGCGTGGCTCCCAACTGCCCATAACTACAGTTCCAAGAGATCTGATGTCCTCTTCTAGCCTCTGAGGGCACTGGACACGTGTGCTGCACAGAGACAGACGCAAGCTGAACACCCATACATATAAAATAAGAAAATGAAAATTTTTAAACAAATTTAAAAAAATAAACTCCGAGCCAGGTCCAGTGGCAGGGGACTTTAATCCCAGCACTCAGGAGGCTCAGGCAGGTGGATCCCAGTCTACAGAGTGAGTTTCAGGCTGCTGGAGCTAGATAGCGCGACCCTGCCTCAACGTAAACTATTCATTAATTAGTAATCGATTACTTTTTAAAAGACACTCAGGAGAGCAGAAGACACTGTACGGCTAGGAGCACAGAAAGCCCAGGTTCAGTTCCCGGCACCCTCACGGAGGCTCAGAACTGTGTGTAAACTACAGTCCCGAGGGGTCCAGATACCCTGTCTGGGGACCACACACACGGGCGGTGGGGGCACTTATATACATCCAAGCAAAGTAACCAAACACATAAAAGGACTTTGAAAAAGATGAAAATGCAAAGGCAGCATGAAGTGGTGGCTGCATGTGTGATGGTGGAGGCCGGAAGATCAGGAGTTCAGGCTTACAGGTTTCCCAGGTCGACCTTGAACTCTTGATCCTCCTGCCTCGGCCTCCTAGGAGTTGTAAAGAACTGGGGGGATGTGCAGGAGCTGAGGTCAGAGGTCAACCTTTGTATCAGTCTCCACCTTCCACCTTGTTTGAGGCAGGGCCTCTTGTTCACAGCTGCATATGCCACACCGGCTGGTTCACGAGCTTCCAAGGATTTTCCCATTTCTGCCTCCCACCTCACCAGGAGCACAGACATACATTACCGTCTCCATCTTCATATGGGTCCAGGGAATGAAGTAAGATCCTCATGCGTGTGCAGCAAACACTCTACACTGAGTGAGCGCCCCCAGCCAACAAGCAAAAAAAATATTTTTTCATTTTTCGAGACAAGATTTCCTCTGTCTGTGCAGCCTTGGCTGTCCCAGAGCTTGCTCTGTAGACCAGGCTAGCCTCGAACTCACAGACAGAGTCCGCCTGTGTCTGCCTCCCAAGGGCTGGGATTAAAGGCATGTGCCATCACCACCTGGTCAAGCAAATATTTTTTTTAAGATTTATTTTTTAGTTTTTAAGTTATTTTCCCTACATGGAGATATGTGTGCCCTGTGTGTCCCTAGTGCGAAGGCCGGAGGGGATGACTGCTCTCCTGACAATGGAGTTACACTCAGTAACCATGTGGGTGTTGGGAACCAAATCTAGGTCTTCTGCAAGAGCAGTAAATACTCTTAACCACTGAGCCATTTCCCCAGCTCTTATCTGTGTAGCCCTGGCTGTCCTGGAACTTGATTTGTAGACCAGAGTGGGCTTGAACTCAGAGATCCACCTGCTTCTTCCTCCCAAGGACTGGAATTAAAGGGCCACCATCACCACACCCAGCCCAACAACAATTTTTAAAATAGTGACAACAGCTTTAGATGTTAGAGCCCTTGGTGAATTCCTGATGGCTGTAACTATCACCTGCCTCTCCCTCCCACGATGCCTAGCCTGGCATGACAGCAGCTGTCTCTTCTCTCAGACTCCTGCTTCTCTTGGCCAGCTGCTTCCTGTCTGCTGGTAGTAGCTCGTACCTCCAACTTCTTTAGCTACAGCCCTTCCCGCCTCTGCTGAGTGGCCGGGTGCTCTCCTTCATGCTTCACAAAATGGCACCACGGCAGCTTTCCAGCTTGTGCATATACTGGGAAGATGAGATCTGAGGCCCAGAACCAGGCAGCGATCTACCCTGGCCACAGCCAGTAGGTGGCAGAGATGAGCCAGGACATGCTGGATCCTGTGCAGAAATGTCCTTATTCCCCAGCCCAACAACAGCCACATCATTTGTAGCCCCGGCTGCCACCTTCACCATCAGCCTTACTTCACTTTAAGGACACGGCCATAACCAACACATCCCAGCCTCCCGTTCTCTACCCCCAGCTCTTTCCAACTGGGCAATGAGGAGCCCATGACCTCATCTTGTCTCATCTCTGTGAACCAGGGAAAAGAGTGCTGCCTATTTCACAAGGCTGGTATGACGTAAACCCCACCAGTACTTAAACACAGGCCAGGAATACACTGGGTGCTCAATGAACATGGCAGAAAATGTTATTTCTGCATCAGCAGCGCTCAACAGGAGACCTGGCCCCTGCTAGATTCCACGCACCCTCCCTTCTTCATAGCAAACCGAAATCACCCGCTCCTGCCACACAGGCACATACTCACGGGAAGGTAGACGCAGCGAAGCAGAGAATGGAGACCAAGCCCAGGCCCACGCTGGCCTCATCCCAGCCATCCTGGGCACATTCACCAAACACATCCCAGATCCACTGGATGGAGCCGTTGGGGCAGGTGGAAAAGTTGCTGGCGCCTAGCATCCTCCAGACCATGGCTGCAGTAGACAGTCCCAGCAGGGAAGGAGAAGAGGAGGCGCAGGTGTCTGAACACAGGCAAGGCTTCAGAGGCTGGCAAAGGTTCGTTCTAGAAAAAGGTGAAAGAGGAGGTCTTCAGCCTTGGGAGGTCTCGTCCCATTCATGGTCCCGTCCCCTATCCAGGGTAACAACAGGCCCTACTTCACACAGCTGCGGTGCCAGTTAAATAAGTTCATATGCAGAGTGTGTGGGCCTATGTGCCAACAGCATTTTTTTATATAATTTGTGAACATTTAGGTATTTTGTGGTCAGATCTAGAGCCTTGCACGTGCTGGACAAAAGGTCAACAACTGTCCTGCATCCCAGCATATATATATTTTTTAATTTTGGATCTCAAGATAGGGCCTCATAAATTGCCCCAGGTGGCCTTTAACCTCAATCCTCCTGCTTCAGATATCAGAGTGCTGGGATTACAGGTCCATGCCGCTAGGCCAGGCTTCCATTTTTTGTCACTACTATACTCTAATAAGGTCTCTGAGACCAGATCTCACTCGAGGGAAGACTATCCTATTTGTCTGTCACGTGGGAATGAGAAGGAGGTTTCTAGGGTTACTACCCAGGAGCCTGGACAGGACGCTGGAGCACATTCCTCCGGAAGCTAGAAAGCCCTCCAGACACCTACCTGCAAGGAAGCCGCAGCCCAAGCTGTGGACACTGTCTGTCACTCTAAGTGCATGACAGCCTTGAGAAGGGATGGAGAGCAAGGCCTGGCTGGAGCCACGTCCTGCAATCCTAGCATGCACTCACACATTCTGTCCTCTGCCCAACTCAAAGGAAACCCCACTGATAGATTCTGCAGGAACCTGAGGCCACAGTAGGGAAGTCATCTACAAGGGCCACCCCACCAGAAAGCAAAAGAGTCAAACAGCCATGGGAGCGGCTTCCCTGGAGGCTGCCATGGCCTAGGCTTCCCCTTTTGTCACTGTGCTAAGAGGGTGTTTCCTCACCCAGGCAGACTCACTCCAGTACCTTAGTTCCCACTTAGGCCGGGGGGGCCTCCTTGCAAAGCTCCGGCTGGACCCATGGCTGCTGAGCTTGCAGAGAGCAGGGCAGGGAGAGGAAAGTCAGCTCTTTTTCTCAGGAAGCCTAGACTCTCAGCCCTAACGTGACCTGCCACTAGAGCTGGGGGTAAGGATGCCCCAGGTCACTATCTGGCCAGCTCACTGTGGCAGCTCTAGTATTGGGGCAGAAGATGACTGGAAGGGCCAGAAGATGGTGGCGCATGCCTTTAATCCCAGACTTGGGAGGCAGAGGCAGGCGGATCTCTGTGAGTTCAAGGCCAGCTTGGTCTATAAAGCGAGTCCAGGACAGCCAGGGCTACACAGAGAAATCATCTCCAAAAATACCAAAATGAAACAAAATGAGTCAAAAAGATGGCTGGAAGGTTCTTCCCCAGTCTTAGTGGCTGGTGCAGTTGACATCAGCATAGCCACTTTGGGGAGCAATTACCTGACACCCCAATTCAGTCTAGGTAAGAGCTGTGCTTCAAGAAGTCCCCTTGTTTATCAGCCATTCACATCCTACCAGACTCCTCCCCCAAGAACCCCCTGTAGATTCTGAAAGGCCCTCCACAGTTCATCACACACCCATACACTATCATCCCTCACAACAGGCTGGGTAGGGAACACTATCCCATTTTAACAGGTAGGAGCGAGGGGCTTTAGGCACGTGAGTCAGCCTGTCTGAGCCTGTCTACAAACTGGGACTAATAAAATCCTCCTAAGCCAAACAAAATTATGAGCCTGGCATCTGTTCCAATGGCAGGGACGGTTTGAAGATGAGAAGGCAGTATCTTGACCACTGTGGAGCCTCACTCCCTTTTACCAAGTTAGGAAAGAAATGAGGTGAGCAGGGACCCCGGGTTCAAGCAGCTCTCCCAGCTCCTTCAAAGACATCTTAATACCAAAGACTGAGCCTAGGACTTCATCCTGCTAGCCCCGTGCTCAGCCCTAAGCTACATGAAGAGCTATTATTATAAAGGGTTCTGACTCTGCTGGTTCATGCCCAGAAAGGCTAGCCAGTAGACAGATTGGCAACAACTAGCTCCTCTCCCAACTCCAGCCAAGGAGATGTTTCCCATCAAAGCAGATGCAGGTTCCATTTTGATAATGGATCAGGGTCAAATTCACAGAGGCAAGGTGCCAAGGACCCCAAGAACTGCCCTGCTTAACCTCATCCCCAGCCCCAGGTCCCAAGTCCCAGGCACCTACACAGGCCGTTTCTTCCTCTAGGAAACTCTTCTCCACTATCAAGGCCTGACAGAGATACCACAACACATTTCTAAACTGCCTTCTTTCTCCAAGAGGTCCTGCAGCCAGCCACCTCCTCCTGTCCCCTGGAACACACTCACTCCCGCAGAAGATGTGTCACCATCCTTGTTACATTGCTCTTCATGCAAACCTCTCTCCTCTCTCCCTGCCTGCACACTTCCTGTTCTCCTGGGTCTGGATGGAGAATGCAAAAGAGAGGGAGAGGGGAGGGGAGGAAATTTGTGAGCTGAGGGGACCTAGGACTGACAAGTCCCTCTGGGCAAGTGATGGAGCTTCACGGTTCTGAGGCGTAAAAAGAAGGGAACCGTAAAAGGGACTTACCTCCTAGACTGGCTGCAGATTTCAATAAAAACCCAGGCCAAACCTCGATAATGGTTTGAGCCTAGAAACGCATCCATGTTTGCCAAGTGCGCTACCACTGAGCTACATTTCCCAGTATTAGGAAGGACTGACTCTCACCGATCATGTCCAGAAAGGCTGGCCAGGAGACTGTATCTCCTGCCACACTCAGGTCCTCTCCAACTCCAAGCAAAGCCAGACGGTGCTTTCCACTAAAACGCATCTGGCACAGTCAACAGTGATAGTCTGTTCTTGCTGTCACCCCCCACCCTGGTCACACAGTTGTATGGAGTATACACTAACTGAACAAAACCTGAGGCTACAGGTTTGTTTGTTTTTTTTTTCCCGGCGATGGGGGCCAGATCGAGAAAGGGTTTCTCTGTGTAGCCCTGGCTGTCCTGGAACTCGCTCTCCAGACCAAGATGGCCTCGAACCCAAGCTGGCCTCGAACTCAGAGATCCGCCTGCTTCTGTCTTCTGCCTCCCGAGTGAGTCCTCACGCTTCTACCCAACCTTCCATGGAACCCTGCCGTGAGCTTGGCGTGGGAGGGGGCATTCTGGGCTCCCTACCTGCAGACCTGGGGAGAATGTGTCAGGGGAGCGCACTGGCTCCAGGATCCTACCCATTCCAGGCCTCCAAACCAAGGCTCTAACTCCTTCCGGTGACTCTGCGGGTTCGAAGGGATAATGACAGGGCAGCTGCTGGGGCAAGCGCCGCGAGGCCCCCGCCCAGTCTACGGAAAACAGGTCAACCAGAAGCCCAGATGCCGGAAGGCAAGGACCAGCAGGTGAGACGTGAAGCCGGACCTGCACCCCTAGCCCGGCTGGGCTAAGGCCCGGGATCCCGCGCCCTAGGAGGAGGAGACCGGCGCCGGGGAGCGTGCAGGGCTGGAGAAGGGTGTAGGGAAGTCTTTGCTGCGTGTGCCTGGAGTCCCGACCCCCAGCCCGGGCCTGCCGCCAGCCCCCTGCAGTCTCACCAGATCAGGATCCACAGCCGAACCTCAGCTTCAGGATCGCAGCCTGCCAGAGTCAGCTGACCTCCGTGAGGCCCCGCCCCCACGCTGTGGGTGGAGTCTGAGGCTGCCGGGCGCGCAGGCGCAGTCTCCATGCTGCGTGCTGCGTCCCGAGCCGTGGGCCGCGCTGCTGTTCGCTGCGCCCGCCGCTCCGGGCCTTCGGTCGCGCGTCCTCTCGCCATGTCCCGGCCTCCGCCACCCGGCGTCGCCTCTGGCGCCCCTCTCCGGCCCGCTACCGTGCTGGGCACCATGGAGATGGGGCGCCGCCTGGATGCGAGCGCTAGCGCAGCGACGATACGCGCCTTCCTGGAGCGCGGCCACAGCGAGCTGGACACGGCCTTCATGTACAGCGACGGCCAGTCCGAGAGCATCCTGGGTGCCCTGGGGCTCGGGCTGGGCAGCGGCGACTGCACAGGTAACTGCCGCACCTGGCCTCCCCCCAGGTAGAACTGGGTTGTTGCCCGCACCCAGAGTGCACCGGCCAGGGTCCTGCACCCCGGGAGCTTCGTTAGCTCCCGTAACCACAACTGGGTGGACCCCAAATCCGGAACTACTGAACTGAACTTTGTCCCGCCCCTCCTTCGAAACTTCTAACTGTGCAGCTCGGGGCCGAGACCATGGAAGTCCCCTACTGTCACCTTACGCCTCGTCTGGCCCTTTGCCTCCTACAGTAATCCCTGCCTCCCAGCACTCCAGTTGCCCGCCCCCACCCCCGTTCCTCCAACCAAGCTTTGTGGTCATGCTCTCCCTCCTTGCCCCCACTACTCCTGGGCTCCAGGAGCTTCTCATTCTAGTCTTTGGTCAGCCCCTAGACTTTGTCCTGTGCAGTTGACGATACCTGTGGGTCTCAAGAAGAACAATAGCAGCAATGCCAAGAGCCCAGCTCGGGGCAGGGCTGAAAAGGTGGTGCCGGGAGAGGGCACTTCGGCCTTTCTGCCCAGTCTGTGCCAGCTCTTGATATGGTTCTACTACAGTGGAGAAGAGACTAATCCACAGAGAGTTCAATGTCCAACGGGAAAGACTGAAGCCGTGATTGCTGGGGAGTGCGGGAAGGAGTAGCTTGTGCAGAGCAGTAGGGAGAGGAGCAGTGGGGCCAGACCTTACGGTGTAAGCAGCTGTGTGCTGAGTGGAGAACCAGAGAAAGGGGTATCGGAGGCTGGAGGATGGAGTCTGAGCGTGCACAGTGCGTGAATAGGCCCCTGGATGGAAGATGAGGGGGACCGTCCCTCCTTGCTTGAAGCCATTGGAGTTCATCAGGGCGACTGTCACTTTTGCTGTCCCGAGGCTCCTCCTCCCTGTTCCTGTGCAGCGGTCCTCTCTGGGGTGCTAGAACAGGAGGGGCGTAAGTGAGCGGCTCTCTCCACCTGGACACTGTAGAGTTCATCTGGCGACTTGCCTGATAATGAACATTTTGGTTTTGAAAAAAAAAAAAATTTTTTTTTTTTAATCTTTAGCTTTACCCTCCTCTTTAGCCCATTTCTGCCTCTTTCTTTGAGTCTGAGGATTCACTAGGCCAAAGTCCTCAGGACAGACCTGTGGCAGAAGTTCACCTGAGAATGCCTTGGAGGCGGGTGTTGTAGCAGGGAGATGGTGTGGTCTTCTTGCCTTTATCCTATGGGATCAGAGGGCTCCACTTGGTCTTGCTGAGGCAACAAAAGCAAGTATCAGAGCACAGAATCCACCCATTATCAGTCCATGTAGTTGGGGTTTCCTATTGGGTAAGAAATAGTGCTAAGTAGGTGACTGAGCTCCACAGTGGGTCTTTCAAGGGATTCTGGTAAAGGCTGATCACTGCCAAGAAACACATTCAGGCCCCTGTATCTCTTCCCTAAATAATTTTTTTAGATCTATTTATTTTATATATCTGAGTGTTTTGCCTGTATGTATATGTATGTGCCTATTGAGGTCAGAAGAAGGCAGTGGATACTCTGGAACTGTAGTCACAGATGATTGTATGGTAACGTGGGGAAATTCTCCAAACCACTGAGCCATCTCTCGAGCCCCTCCTGCCTAAATTCTTACATAGCACTTTACTGGGCTGCCTGCTTTCATGCCTGTCCCCTTGAGCTTCTCCATTCTATGGCTAGAGGGAGCCAAATGATGGAAGTTGTTTTTGACAAAAATCTCAATCTCTCAATTTTAACAATAGCCTGGGGAGCCTGATGCTGGGTGAAGGCCTTTCAGATCAGAGAGGCAGAGAAAGAACCCAGCTGACCTTCCTTCTCAGCTTATGTCCCAAAAGGAAATGCCTTCCCCACCTCTCAAAAGCCTCAAACTGAGATGGGTGCAGAGGTGCACACCTGTAATCCCAGCACTCAGGAGGCAGAGGCAGGCGGATCTTGTGAGTTCGAGTCTAGCCTGGTCTACAAGTGAGTCCAGGTCAGCCAAGGCTACACAGAGAAGCCCTGTCTTGAAAAACAAACAAACAAAAAAAACTCAAACTGAATGTCCTTCCCTTCTACTCTTTGTGTGTCTTTCTAGCCATCCTCCTGACTTCCTCTTACTCTATAGGTTTGGTTTTTTTTTCTCTCTCTTTATGTTCAACTGGTTTTTTGCTTTGCCTCTTGACCTATGGTTGATTTTATTTAATTCAAGCAAAAAGCTCTTCGATTAAAGGTGTATGCTAGGCCTGAGCCATACCACAGCTAGAAACAGGTTTTTCCTGTAAACAGAACAATCTCGGGGTTCACAGTGTGAAATATCAAATATCCTGCAGCAGACAGGCTCACATCATCCTGACAAAAGCTGGGAACAGCGAGTACAAGGTCTGAGATGGTGTTTGAGCAAATGCAGCCTTGTGTGGCGAACACTATTATCCACTGAGGCAACTTACCGGCCAACGTGTGCTTCTATTTATTTATTTATTTATTTATTTATTTATTTATTTATTTATTTATTTATTCATTCATTCATTCATTCATTCATTCATTCATTCATTCATTCAGGTCCTTTGCTCATTAAAAAAAATCTAAACGTTTAAAGATGTTTTTTAATTATTTTATGTGTACAAGTGTTTTGCCTGCGTGTATGGTGCGTACCACGTATGCCTTGTACCAAAAGAGGGTATTAAATCCTCTGGAACTAAAGTGATGGATGGTTGTGAACTGCCGTGTGTTAGAAACTGAGCCTACGTCCTCTTCAAGAGCAAGTGATTTTAACTGCTGAGCCCTCTCTCCCGCCCCTGTTTTGTACTTTTAATTAGAAATTATTTTTAAAACTCCCTCACTTCACAGATAGCATGATTGTCTACAGATAAAATCGGAAAGATTTAATAAACTACCTGGAACTTTAAGATTTATTTACGTATGAGTTTAAGCTTAGGAGTGCTCCGTCTGCATGTTCGTCTGCAGAAGAGGGCGTTGGATCCTACTGTAGATGGTTGTGAGCCAGCATGTGGTTGCTGGGCATTGAACTTAGGACCTCTGGGAGAGCAGCCAGTGCTCTTAACTGCTGAGCCATCTCTCCAGCCTCCTACCTAGAATTTTAAAAAAAGTCCCTATTTCCTCCTTATGAGGACAGTTCCATTATTATCATCTCATTTTAAAAATTAGGAAATAGGAACTAAATTAAGTAATTTAGTCAGAAACATTTACATGGCCACTGAGTAATTCTAATAAATCCTTTTTCTTGTTTGTTTGTTTGTTTGTTTGTTTGTTTTTCTGAGCCAGGGTTTCTCTGTGTAGTCCTGGCTGTCCTGAAACTCATTTTGTAGCCTAGGATGTCCTTGAACTCAGAGATCCGATTGCCTCTCCTCCCAAGTGCTGGGACTGAAGGTGTCTGCCACCATGCCCAGCCTTCTAATAAATCTCTTAATCATTATAATCTTCCTGCAAGTGAAAATTGCCACTAAGGCCAACCCTTGGGATGGGAAGTCACTGAAGCCTGACAGTGTCCGGTCCCAGCTGGAGACATCCCTGAAGCGGCTGCAGTGTCCCAGGGTGGACCTCTTCTACTTACATGCTCCCGACCACAGCACCCCTGTGGAGGAGACGCTTCGTGCCTGCCACCAGCTGCATCAGGAGGTGAGGGTGGCCCCCGAGCCCAGAGGGGCGATCTCTATGCTTCTCGTCCCAACTCTACCAAGACAGTGAGGCTCTCTGGGTACAGACTCCTCTCCCAGGTTCCTCACCCAGTTGCTCTTCCTTTCCCGGTTCCCTGGGCTGAGCTGAGTTGTGACAAGACCCTCTCCCCTCAGGGCAAGTTTGTGGAGCTTGGCCTGTCCAACTACGCTTCCTGGGAGGTGGCTCAGATCTGTACCCTCTGCAAGAGCAACGGCTGGATCCTGCCAACCGTGTACCAGGTGAGGGGAACTTGATGTGCTTGGCCTACCCAGACCTGAGGGGGACCCCTCTCTCCACAGCAGCCACTCCCCTCCTCAAAGCCTGTGCGCGCCACCTAGTCTCTCACCAGCCTGGCTCTTGTGCACCTGTTTGCCTGCTGCCTGACTAAACATCCGGATCCCTTCCTCCCATCCTGCACTTCAGCCTGGAACATACCCCTCCATAGTCCTAGAAAAATGCTCAGCTTTAGCCTAGATAGCTCTTCCCAGGGAATCCTCTCCTCAGGAGCCCACAGGAGCCTCCAGTCTCTGAACCACACCTTCTTATGGGTGTTCTGAGTTACACGAGATGATCAAGGAAAGAGGGTCACTCTAAGCTCATCAGGCTCTGAGACAGCAGGGAGGTCCAGCCTTGATGAACTGAACCTCAGACAGCCACCATGAAGAAGGATATTTAGTCTTTGTTAACAAAAGTTGGGTTTTGGGTAAAACAAATTCCTCATCCCAAAGCCCCAATCTAATCGAATCTGTTTTGTGAAGGCACACAGCAGGCTCCTGCAGCCTTAGTCCTTACCGTGTACCGTCTGCAGTACTCAATAGTGCAAGACGTGCCAGGTGTGCCAGGACCCTCTGTGACCAAAGGCTGTAAAGCTCCTTCAGAAAAGCAGCTCTGGAGATAACAGAGAACAATCCCTGTTTTCTACAGTGATTTCAAAGGTCAAAGTACTTCTAGAAAACAGCTTTTTCATTCCGATGTTTGCC